TATATAGATGCACTATAGATCTTATAAAGTCCTCCACAGTCATTTTAAAATACCGAATTCCAAAGTATAAAGTCCCCCCCAGTCCTTTTAAAATACTGAATTCCAAAGTATAAAGTCCCCCCCAGTCATTTTAAAATACTGAATTCCAAAGTATAAAGTCCCCCCCAGTCATTTTAAAATACTGAATTCCAAAGTATTGTTATGTAAGACTTTTCCATCACATAAATAAATGGCATTTGAAAAGGTAGTACAATAAAAAACCTAGCTTACTATTCATATTAAAGAATTTAGTGTGGTTTAAAGGTCTGATTTAATCAGAGTAAATTGTACTCTTTCATTATGTATGTATTGTGCTTTTTATGCAGAAAAAAAGTCATTCAGGCTTTGTCTTGTTGCGTTTAGAATGGAAATAGCTTTCATGAGGTAGGCCATCAGCACAAGGTCAGATAATTGTACATTGGGACTGTAGACTCAAAATTAATGCAGTCTAAACTCATTTCTGTCGTGTTTTGCTTCTTTGTGCCGAAAGAAACACTTAAAAAATGCTTAATTGTCATTGATGTTTACATAAAGTCTTTTCATTACCTATAAAAAATTTCTTTATAGTGGGTAAGGTTCTTCAGGTCATTGAAAATGCTTTTTATTCTAAGAAAAATGGTTCATTTAAGAACTGTTCGCTGAATGGTTTTTTAGAACGCTTGTTTTTTTTAAGAGTGAAGGTCAAATATATATTTGTGTTCTGACTATTAAATAACTCTCTTTTTCTCCACAGAGAAGCTGAAAGAAGCTCCAAACCTGAGCAGCATGCCGTCCCACAGACCAACCATTTCAGCAGCAGCAAAGGCTCATCCCAGGCAGAGAGCGCCCAGCAAACACATATAGAGGTGGCGGAGCTGAGGCCGCAGCGAGATGGAGACGAGTGTTACGTTTACAGCAAGGATATAACCGAGGATCCTGTTAAACTCATGTCCCCTGGAGAAATGGAGATGGAGGCGCTTTCCCAATCAGGTGCTCATTCACGGCCTCCGTCCACGGTGCCCACTCAAAGGAACGGACTGCCCTCTTCAGGCATTCCTCCTGATCAGAACGGCAACGTAGTGTATAAGAGAGGTCTCGTCCCACGTACAGACACTGAGAAAAAGGTACAGAGAAAAACTGCGCTTGCTCAGGTCGAGCACTGGGTGAAAGTGCAGAAAGGAGACCCCAAAAGGTCAGTTTTTTTGGATAATGTAAACACCTTAAAATATGCTGCGGTTGAGTAAAAAATACTTGGAATACATAAAGGTATTTTTGTAATACTCTTATTATTGAAAGCCATTGTAGGATTTAGTTAATACATTTCTGGTTATGGAAGAGCTCCCTCTAGTGGTAATATATACACACTGGTTATTAAAGGCAATGTTTTGTGACCGAGGAACAACTTTGCTTGTACTACTGAAAATATTTTAAATTCTTCCTATAACAGTGAAATTGTTAGAAAGTGCATTTACATTATTGCACTTGTATTACGAGCTGTCCTCTTATTGCAGTAAAACATTATAATATCTAATTTACACTATATTATATTATAGTTAGATTTATTAAGTATAAGTTATATTATTAAAATCATACTAAAATATGCAATTTTTCATAACTACTAATAAATAAATGTTAAGTTTAAAGTTGATATATATTGGCTGCATGGTGGTGCAGTGGGTAGCACGTTCGCCTCGCAGCAAGAAGGTCGCTGGTTCAAGCCTCGGCTGGGTCAGGTGGCGTTTCTGTGTGGCGTTTGCATGTTCTCCCGTAAGTTTCCTCCGAGTGCTTCGGTTTCGGTTTCCACCACAAGTCCAAAGACATCCAGTATATGTGAATTGGGGTGCAAAAAATGTGCAATTATTTTAATTTTATTAGTATACTACTACTAAAATTAATAAATAAAGTGTTATTTCTAAAGTTTATAACATAAAATAAATATACAATTATATTATATTATATATTGTAGTTAGATTATTGTTAGATTTATTGTAAATATAAGTTATATTATTAATTAATTAATAAATTCATTCATTTTCTTTTCAACTTAGTCCCTTTTACTAATTTACCCAATTCACTTATACCACATGTTTTTGGACTTGTTTCTGAAACCCATGTGATCACAGGGAGAACATGCAAACCTCCACATAGAAATGCCAACTGACCCAGTCGAGGCTTGAAACAGCTACCTTCTTGCTGTGAGGTGATCGTGCTACCCACTGGGCCACCTCGTCACCTTTCTTGGATATAAGTTATATTATTAATAGTATACTAAAATATGCAATTATTTCAACACTATTTAATTATATTACTACTACAAATAATAATAAAAAAGTTTTTTTTACAGTTGATATTAAAAAAATTATCGATCAAGCTTTCTGTGTTGCGGCCCCAAGGCTCTGGAACAGTCTCCTGTTAAACATCAGGATTTGTCCATGCTTGGATAGTTTGAATTCTAACTTAAAGACTTATTTTTACTCCCTTGCCTTTGAGCGACTCATACATGTTATTTCTTATCTGTATTTTAGTATTACATATATACAGTTGAAGTCAGAATTACTAGCCCCCCTGATTAATTCACCCCCCCCCAGTTTATTTTTATTTAACACATTTCTAATCATAATAGTTTTATTAAGTCATCTATAATAAATGATTTATTTTATCTGACAGTAAATTGACAGTAAATAATATGTGACTAGATATTTTTCAAGACACTTCTATACATAAAACTTACATAACTAGGTTAATTAGGTTAACTAGGCAGATTAGGGTAATTAGGCAAGTTATTGTATAATAATGGTTTGTTCTGTAGACTAGCACAAAAAAATTAGCTTAAAGGGGCTAATAATTTTGTCCTTAAAATGTTTTTTAAAAAATTAAAAACTGCTTTTATTCTAGTCGAAATAAAAACAAATAAGACTTTCTCCAGAAGAAAAAACATTATCAGACATACTGTGAAAATTTCCTTGCTCTGTTAAACATCATTTTGCAAATATTCAAAAAAGAAAACAAAAACAAAGGAGGGCTAATAATTCTGACTGTATACTACTACTAAAATAATAAATAAAGTGTTATATTTAAAGTTTATATCATAAAATAAATATACAATTATCGTAGTTGAATTTATTGCATATAAACTTATATTATTTATTATATTAATAATGTAGTACTAAAGTATGCAGTTATTTTATTAGTGCACTACCAAAAATAATAATTAAAAAACACTTAAAGTTTATGTAATAAAATAATTCAATACACAATAGTAAAATAAAATGTACAATAAAATAACACTTCTTAAAACATATAAAAGTGTATGAATTTTTTTCCTATAAGTAATATGTAATTGACAATGAGATTTGAGTGTGTATTAACAGTTAAAACCTTGACATTCCAGCCATCCCACTGCTGAGTACACTCTACCCAGACGGACGCCTCCACTCCAGCCCAAGTCCGTCATGATGGACACATACCAGTCGTTGCCAAAGACCACGCGCCACCACTCCGGAAGCAGTTCTCCCCCTGTGCCGCGCAACCTGCCCAGTGACTATAAGTACGCCCATGACCGTCTTAGTCACTTCCGCATGTCCACCGATGAGCGCATGGCCACTAAAGAGGGCATGGTGTGGCAGCTATATGAGTGGCAACAGCGGCAACAGTTCCGCCACGGAAGCCCGACAGCGCCCATCTACACCGGGCCTGATTACATGGACACCTCCGCCTTTAGGGTCACTCTGGAAATGCCACGATCCATATCCGTGCCCCCATCGCCATGTGACATGCCTCCATCAGGGCACCCCTCGAAATCCCTCTCCCCACGCAGGCCTCATACGCCCGCAGACAGGGTGACGGTGCGCCCGCTGGACGACTTTGCCACCGTGGATACACCCATTTTGGGTTCTCCCAGAGGAATATGTTCCCAGATCTCAAAGGTAGGGAATGCGGAGCAGTTTCACATCTTTTAAATTAGTTGTGGTGAGCTCCTCTTTTTGTTGAGACCACAGGAGCGTTGACCACCAAAGGCGTGAAGGGTTATGGGAAAACCGACTTTCTCTCCACTCAGGCTTTGATTTTTAGTTCTCACATAGGCTTTATTAAGGGTTTGACTCCCAGGTGCAGAGGGTGTGTTTTACACTAGACCAGCCACAGGGGAAATATTTACCCATGGCTTTTTTTTTCAGAGTTACAGTGTAAAAAAATCTTGCTGCCTTACATTTTTATAGTTAAATCAAATAAACGTTTCTTGTTGTCTGAACATACATCACTCAAACTGACTAAAAAGTATTATTTAAACTTTGTATAACTCAAAAAATTTAGTTGAAACCCGATTAACTTGTTAAAATAAGTTAAAGCCACATGAAAATATTTGTTGTCAAAATATTTTTGACAGTGTATATGTGTCTGATACATTGGCTTTTGCAAAAATAGTTAAATACAATTGTGTATACATTATGTTGTTAAATTGTTTAGATTAAAGGAACTGTTAAACTGTAAAAGGAATTGTTTAAACTAGAGGAATTAAGGGTGAGATATGGGAATAACGTTCACTAAACTGTAAAACAAGATAAGTCAAATATTTTTTTTTAATTGAGCTGCCATTGTTTTCCTCACAGTTAATTTAATATCAAAAGAAAATGTATTAGTAATACTATTTATTTTTTTAAATATATTTGATGAAGTACCTTTTGGTAAATTGTAAAATGAAGTAACTTTCGGTAAACTAAAAAAAAACCCATAAATATCATATATTTAAAAAAAAATAGGTGACATTATTCTCCTCATAGTTCATCCACCAAACATAAAAAGATAAATTATCACAATTAACAAATTACTTTTATATGAAACCCTTGAACAAAAACCCAAGTCTTTTAGAGGAAACGTTGCAAATATTGCTGTGCTATTATTGTACTATAGGAAATGCAAAGAGAAAATGACAAAGAGCCACAGATTTGCTTGTGATTCTAATGTCACATTAAAATACAAAGCAGAGAATTATTTTTATTCATTCATTCATTCATTTTCTTTTCGGCTTATTCCCTTTATTAATCTGGGGTCGCAACATGCGGAATGAATCGCCAACTTATCCAGCATATGTTTTACACAGATGTAAATACACGGATGTACACGGATGCCCTTCCAGCTGCAACCCAACACTGGGAAAATTATTTTCATAACAATTAAAAATAAAGCACAAGGACAAATGTATCTCTCACTGTATCTAGTGTCCAGCATGAATGAGTACAGTACACCCCTCACAGAAATAATAACTTTTTTATATTCGGGTGTCACGGTGGCCCAGGGGGTAGCACGATCTCCTCACAGCAAAAAGGTTGCTGATTCGACCCTCGGCTGGGTCAGTTGGCATTACTGTGTGGAGTTTGCATGTTCTCCCCGTATTCGCGTGGGTTTACTCTGGGTGCTGCAGTTTCCCCTACAGTCCAAAGACATGTGCTATAGGTAAATTTGGTCTTAATTAATGAATATTCTTCATGGATAAGTAATGTAAAGTTCTTTTTTTAAAAGGGCTGAACTCATACAGTATATGCTGTGCACTATATATGGATAATTTGCAGACATATTATTTGAAGTGATTTGATTGAGTTCTTTTGAATGGAGGTTTCCCAAACCAGATAGGAAACCCATTATACTGTATGAAACCAGTAGGCACATGTAAAAAATTTGATACCTACAGATATACATGCTTGCTTACAGGTTAAATTACTCATGTTCTAACTTTACTTTAGCACTGCCAGGTTTGTTTCGATTATGTTTTAGGATGCCATGTTGCTACCGCAGACGATTCATTTCATCAATTTTAAAAGCAATAATCGGTTTAAGTAACATTGGATAACAGAAGGTGATTTATTAAAGCAAAATAAGTATTAGAGACACTAAATGAGTGAGTGCTGTGTCCTGGGTTGACTTAACATCATAGCTGATGATTAAATATATTAATTTCATGTTACTTTACAGTTGATAGGGGCCCAAAACTATATGTTTTTAGCTGTATCCTAACAGCAGTCATGTGTGCAGGTAAATTTAACCTGCAGACAGTTTTAAGTATCCAACAATGCCTGGCAGTTTAAGTGTTTAAAGAGCATTTTTATTTACTCGTGTTGCTGGAGTTGTTTCTGTGACTAATAGTAGCATCTGCTGGCTTCACCCCCACATGAGAGAGAGCCGTTCCCAGCACCACATTCACACGAAACAGCAGGCACAGGAGCCTCTGTGCCTCTTACAAGTTAACATACTGTCACAGCCGTTTCTGCTTGGCATACGCCAGGACTCGTGTGAACTCACTAATTACATGCCTCCAACAGAAAGATTCACAGAAGCTGTCAAGAACCAGAGAGAAAGAAAAACACGGCTTCAGTTAGTGTGTGGTGATGCCACAAAGAATATATATAGTTTGGTAGAGGAGATCTAAATAGACGAGAGCGCTAATGGGAATGTGTGCATTATTGTCCACGACATATTAAATCACTTTTTTTAAAAATAGAAAATCTTAAATTTAGAACTTAAGTTTATTTCTGTAACATGTATTTCATATAATATCTATAATTAATAGTAATATAAATCTAGTTATATAATAATAATTATAATTACAATTCATATTATATAAAACATTCTTAATTTTATTTTTTTATTACACGGTTCGCTTTGGTTACTATTGTCATGGCATCGATTCGGTTCAATTCGATATCTCAGTACATCACTGTCCATTGACAATGCTTTCCATACACAATTTGATATTTTACTTTGCAGCACAATAATTCTTGTATTAATTTATATATATATATATATATATATATATATATATATATACATACAGCAGTCAGATATATGTACTGTATTCTTAATTTTTATTTTTCAATTTATCAAACAAAACTTAACATGCACAGAACGGCATGAGCATTTATAAATAAATAATTAAAAACAAATAAATATAAATATTATCCCTCTTGCTTTTTGAGCGTTATTGAGAAAGTTCTTAAACGCCTATGATTGATCACATGCTCAACATAAAAGACTCATTGCAGCTCTGGCGCTTCAGCAAACAGTGATACGGGCACTGATGTTAAACGACTGCCATTACAGCTGATCCATTATAGATGGCGACGCGGTGGAGAAAACTCGCTTTGCAGACATGCTTATGTTTGTATCCACAAGTAGCATTATTGTTGTAACAGCTGAGAGAGAAGATAAAACATTACCACATGAACACGCCAGCAGGCCAAAGCGGCCATATAACGCATATGTGATAAATGACATCAGTATATAATCGTTTATGACTATTACTAAACCGATACCAACTCGATCGTGTCTGCATCGAAGAAAAAATTATTTTTGAAATATTAGGGGTGTCAAAATTAATTGTTTTTTTGGTGAACCGCGATGCAGACGTGGAAAATTCGGTATCGGTTCAGTAATAATCATAGCCGGTCATTATGGACTGACGTCATTTATCTCCTAGGCGCTCTGTTACGA